CTCTCTCTCCCTTCCTCCCCACCTCTCTCTCCCTTCGCCTCTTTCTTTTTCTCTCTATCTGTTTCTCTTCCTCTCCCTTTCTTTTTGTTCCTTTCTCTCTTTCTTTTTCTTTCTCTCTCTCCCTTCCTCCCTCTCTTTTTCTGTTTCTCTTTTTCTCTTCCTCTCTCCCTCTCTCTCCCTTCCTCCTCACCTCTCTCTCCCTTTGCCTCTTTCTTTTTCTCTCTATCTGTTTCTCTTCCTCTCCCTCTCCCTTTCTTTTTGTTCCTTTCTCTCTTTCTTTTCCTCTCTCTCTCCCTTCCTCCCTATCTCTCTCCCCCTTTCTCTCTCTCACACTGTGTGCGTGTGCGTGTGTGTGCGTGTGTGTGTGTTCAGGCTTGTTTGTTCCCTAATAACAGATGTATCATTCTCTTGATCATGTAATCAGCTAAGCTGGCATAGACTAGTTTCCCATTTACATTGCAAATGAAGCTGAGGTGATGGCTGTTCTTTTTTTAAAAAAAAACTGGAGGTTTAAGGGGGTGGTGGGGGGAGGGAAGCCAGGTAAGGGAAACCTAAAAGTACAGACAGGCCTGCCTTCTCAAAATAGCAGACAAACAGTTATACCAGGGGGATCTTGTTTAGATCTTTCTCGAGTGCAGGATACCAAATTTATATTCAGCCCTGCAAAGCCCTCGGCTAGAAGCGTGTACCTGTTTGATCTTGTACTTTCTCTTGCGATGAAACCCCAGTTCCCAAACTCCTGCCTACCTCTAGCTTGTGCGTTCGCGCCCCAGTAGCATTTCCACACCTTTTAAAATTTGCATTCTTCCTCCCCCCTGTGCTGAGTCAGTGGGTCCCAGGGTGAAGTGTTGGGAACAGAAGAACCTGCTATGTAAGTCAAGCTATTTCCCCCAATTTATTTTCGTTCGGCACCGGATCACAAGGTGTTTCCCGTCATCGCCTCTTGAGCTCCGGTCTGAAGTATAAATAGTCCTCAATAGACGACCCTAATGGAGTCTGTCATGGGCATCTCTACAACTGCCTGATTTGGCTCTGCAACCCAACAAGACAGATAACAGACTTCAGTGAGTAATTAGGACTGCAGAAAATAACAATTGCTACCAATCTGCCTTCCATTGAAGACCCGTATATTGTACGAGTCAAAAAAAGAAGGTTGTGAAAATATTTACAGACCCCCTCACATCCCGGACATAAACAGTTTCAACTCCTACCCTCAAAATGACACTATAGAACAACTAGACACAAGGGCAGATTATTCCCCAAACGCCATCACCCTGCTAAACAAATAATTCCCTCAACCCTGTCCAACTATTTGCAAAGTCTGCACTACTATCGTTATTAATCTTCTCATCACTCTTTATCACCCATCCCCTCCCACTTGTGACAGTATGACTGTAACTTTGCCGCTTGTATCCTTATGTCAATAAATATATTGACTGTTTCCTAGTATGATTTGATTGCTTATTGTACCCTATGACTGTTTATTAAGTATTGTACCTGATGATTCTTGACTCTTGACGAATGTCTCTTTTCCTTTTACGCACACTGAGGGCATTTGCGCCTTGTGTGTCCAACACACTTGGCCAATAAAGAACTATCCTATCCTATCCTATCCTTTCCTATCCTATCCTATCCTATCCTATCCCTATCCTATCCTATCTACACTGAGAGCATTTGCACCAAGACAAATTCCTTGTGCGTCCAATCACACTTGGCCAATAAAGAACTATCCTATCCTATCCTATCCTATCCTATCCTATCCTATCTTATCCCTATCCTTTCCTTTCCTTTCCTTTCCTTTCCTTTCCTATCCTCTGTACACTGAGAGCATTTGCACCAAGACAAATTCCTTGTGTGTCCAATCACACTTGGCCAATAAAGAATTCTATTCTATTCTATTCTATTCTATTCTATTCTATTCTATTCTAT